AGAGAGAGAGAGAGAGATGTTAAGGGTTCTAGAAATAGGGACCTCGTAGAGACTATTTATAGACTCTACCTCAGGGTTAGGGTTTCTAGGGTTAGCCATCCTTACGGAGAATAGATCCCATTGATCATAGGTGATCTGTGGGGTGCTAGATCATAGCCTTACAATCCTTAGATCAACCATCATGATGTAAAGGAAGGTGTTTAGAATCATATCCGTCAACTTCCTTAACCTAATCCCATTAAATATTCAACACATAGAAAATATATTCCTCTTTCCTTTCTTTTCTATAATTTTCTTACACATGCTTCGTTAAATATTCAAATCTCTTTCAATTTCAAAACCTTCCTCTTTTGTTCACCTTAATTGAATGCCATCTTGCATGGTCTTTAAAATAGGAAGGTGAATCATTACATGTCGGGGCGTGCCTCTAATGGAGCCCCGAGTGGGCCCCACGCACCCCTCCACATGCAATATTATGGTGGGGCCCATGGACCATAATGGCCCCCCATGTGTATTACCATTTATAAAATAAAGAAAATGATATTTAGAAAAAGATTGCTATTTTATTTTTCTCTCTGTTTTACTAAATACTGAAAATTCAGTTTCAGCCTATTTATAAATCCATTTTGAAAAATAAGATACTCAGAGACTTCTGAAAATTGATTTTATTAATCGGAAAATCATTCAAGTTCAACTTAATTAATTCTAAATTAATTTGATGGGATTTGGATCCAACTATGTTAAGGAAATAGCGAAATCATTGAAGCACTCCATCTTCTACCAGAAATAGAATCCACACCCACTTTCTCAAACTGACCCAATACTTCTCATGACTTATGGTCCATCACAGGGATTCCTGATTGGCCTACCAAAGTCAACTAATAGGTGAGGGGACACAATCCTTGTCTATGGATTACAGGTTCCTCTCTAGGGACAAGTCTTAGGTCACATAGACCTGTGCGCACAATTCGCATTTAGTGCATTTGGGGGTCATCTCTCGTGCATGTACACGGAATACCCTCAATGGTGCGTTGCTTCTCGATACGCTATCATGTGTACATGCTGTGTGATGGTATAAGATGAGGCTTTGGCCCTCGTCCCTTCAGGCTCACCAATCCCACACAAGGGCCATACAGTTCCTTAGTTCTATACCTTGGGCATCTTTGACCTCATTACGAGATAACCCTGCTAACCCTTTGCGGTTGTGCTCGATGCCCAGGTATTTAGCATTTTGGTACTCGACTGGCCTAGCTCGTCAAGCTTAGTCTGAGTCTTGGTAAAACAATTTTGCCAACCTCGGTATCTCTAAACCATACTCCCACTGGAGTTCTTTGTTCGACTATATCAAAATAGGTTACATGCTTTCATAAGGCCTTTAAATGGTGCAAAAACCCAACAATGACCGTACGAACTCCAAAAAATGTTGGGTGTACATGTGTCTTTCTTTACTTCTATTTATGAGTTCTTATTTTCTTTCTTCTCTCGCTCTCTTGCTGTACTTTTTGGATATTTATGGATTAATATGTTCTTGTTCAAGTTGAGGAGTCACATGCCTTTGATTGCTCCCATTTCATGCAAATATTGGACTTGTAATTGTTTTTTGAGAACTTCAATACATTCAGGTATAACATTAGAAATTTGGAACTCCCGTTGACTGTTTTAAATTTCTGTCAATGTACGTTTAGCTGTTTTGTGAGAATCATTTATAGTCTCAGTTTAAGATCTTTGGCAATATTCTATAATCAGTCCATTGAGATTTTCATGAAATTTGACTAACTGTATCAGGAAACAATTCAAAATCTAATATTTCATATTCCCCATCAAATCTAGCATAATTGATGATCATGACTATTCTGGGTGTTATATAAATAAAAGATCGTCATTGGCAATGTCTAGCATTTCTTCTTATTGATTGTTTATCTCTTTGATAAATTTCATATAAAAAATTTGCTCTTTTTTTTTTTTTGGGTAATGGGTAATCAATGATTCAATATGTTTCTTTTGTAGCACGAAAGATCCAAAGCTCAACATGGTTGAAAGCTTCCCATAAAACCTCTAGGCATAATGTAATTGAATTAGCCAATGAAAATAGTCCTTGTATTGGATTCGAAGTAACTGTTCATGATAGCATTGGATTGTCTCACAAATGTGCCACATGTGCTTTTGGTCTCCTGAAATACTTTTTCATTTTAGTTTAGTTTATAGTTCCTTGAATATCCTTCTTTAATGTGTTTTTATTGAACTATCTTTTCTCTGTTTTATCTGATCTGCTACCTCTCTTTGGCATTTCATCCTCTCTTTTGTGAATTAGTTAAGCCTCCCCAGTCTCATGTCCCTTGTCCCTACACCAAATTAAATTATGTGTGATAGGTAGGTGTTGGTGTTTGATTAATTCCTGTTTTCTTTGATTCAAACAGATGTTTCTCCTGATTTCAGCCCCCTCGTCATCTGTATCCTACAGAAATGCCTGCGAGTGCTTGAATCTGGCTCAAAAACTTTGAAGGTTACAGGGAGAACCATGATTTCAATGTACGTGGGTAACTCGTTATGTTTTTTGCTGCAGACTCAGGTATGAATTGTTTTATGCAGCTAATTTCATGGGCTTTCTTATGGTGCTTACTATAATGAAATGATGATGTGTTCCAGGTGCAACCGGCATCATTAGCTGCTATTATCACAAGCCTTTTGGCTTCAAAAGTTGTAGGTTCTTGCCAACCAAATGTTGATTCTGGCAACTTTCACTGTGAATGGAGGCCTATGGAGAATCTGCTACTCTTTTCCAAAAGAGTTTTAGATGAAGAAGCTAGTTGTCACCTTCTTTCAACACCTTTGAGTGGTGACAATCAGTCATTCTTGAAAGCACTCGGTCAAGCAAAGAAGATTATCAGAAACGGGCATGATGGTTGGTTATCTGGTGTGGCGTTAGCTTTGACTTCAGCCATTCTTTGTGCAGCACCTGTTGATATGTTGGCGGATTTCCCTTCACTCATTATTATAGCTGAACATATTTATGGAGTTGATACCTCAGTATTATCATCCATATTATGTCAGGAAAGAGTACTCTTGTCTCAGGTTGCTCATCTTTGGCCTGACTTGTTTATGTCCAGTCTGGATGTGGTTTCATGTGCTTGCAAAGAAGCTGCACCTGTTTCCGGATACAATGCTTCTCATAGCCCTGTCTCTGGTCTCCCTGGTTTGGGCATTGATTTTGATTCTAAAGAGTTAGCAATTGCTACATTTGGTATATTTTTGCAGCATATTCCCTTTAATGTGTTGTTTTCTGCAATCACAAGCTTCAATGATACTGACTTGTTGGGCTCTACAAAAATGCGTGGAGTGCTCCAGGCAAAGTTGTTGGAGTCCCCTGCAGATAGCTTAATTGCTTCAGTTCACCTTATTTTGTTCTGGATGTATCGTATATCCAGAAAAGAAGTAGATTCTTCAATTAGGAGTTGGGGAGAACAGTTGACAACTTGTTTTGCTCTTGTGGAGCATATCCTTATTCGCATTTTGTCATCTGCCTCTGTTTTGGATTCTTCGCAGGAAATTAAGTCTACAACTGCTGCTGTGGTTCTGATTCAAGAAGTTGTTGAGGCAATCTTCTGTCATCCTGCAGTTGCTTTGTTGTTATTGCATCCTTTGATTAATCACGGGGAGCCAGAAAATGGAGGCTTCAACAATCTTGAGGCTTTCCTATGTTCATCCAGCAACTATGTTCATCCTGTTGATCATCATGTACTGCATTTGTTAAATGTTGTTGCTGATTACCTCTCAACTCAAATGACTGTTCAAGGTTTGAATTTGAAACTACGGGATGTCCATGGATCCGTTTTGAAGGCATGCCAACCTTTACTTCGGCGCCCACTTTCAGTTTTCAGGGATGAAGTTTTAGCAGGGATGACAACTCATAAGGAATTGTTTCCTTGTTTGCCCAGCTTTTATGTTCTTTGGTCTCTAAAGCACTTTCTTTCCCCTTTTGAGTTGCTAGAACTTGTTTACTGGCTCTTTTGTAATATTGATGAGGAGAAAATTAAGGACTCAGCACCTTCAATGCCTTCAGCCATCTATCTTGGATTACATATTGCTGAAGAGGCTTTTAGTATGTTATCCAGTTTTGTTCTCCGAGGAAAGACGAAAGTGGCTTTATGGAATATATTTGGGGAAGTTGCGGGTACATTTGACTTGGATGTTTTTGAAAAAATTTATGATAAAATCTTGAACTTTTCCCTCATGTGCAATCTAGAAATTGCTGACCTATGCCTGTTGAGAGTTATGCTTGTGTCTGTTTGGAACTGTACACAATCATCTGCTGTGCTTTTGCCTCTGAGTATGACCGTGCAGAAGATGATAAGTTGCTGTCCGATGGATTTGCTTATTCATTGTATCTACAAGACAAACAGGATAAAATCAAGAATACTGTTTTTGATAACGCAAATAAGCCCTCTGCATTTGAGTATTTTTGGGGAGATGTTTTTGTCTGTGCTTGGTAATGATTCATCGCGTGAAGTCCCAAAGTTGGATGGAGCATATCCTGTTAATGTCATTACTGAAGAGACTACTAACCATTGCTTTACAAGTGAGGAATATATTTTGCTCTTGCCCGTTGCTCTAAAATATTTTTTCTCAGAATTTGCTGAGTCAAGCAAACAGAAATTTGTATATGCCGAATGTATTCCTGTGCATTATTCTAAGACTCTTTTACAAGGCTTCTCAAATTGGCAAGATTTTGTCTCAAGTAAGATTTTCTGGGAGGAAGGTGATGATGTTGTACTCACATCTCCTGAAGAATTTCACAATTTTTTTAGTAGTACTATACTTAGTAGGACCATTGGCATGCTGGAATTATGGTTAATTATGAAAGGAAAAACATTAAGAAAGAAGAAGAGGATCAAGTTATTTGATTCAATTGATAGGACTCTTCATTGTCGCGGGGTTTTGGTTGATTCTGCTCTTGATGAGCTATGTTCCAGTTCTTTTGAACAGTCACTGAACACAGTGAATAGGATTACTGCCAGGATATATTTTTTGAGGATGCTATTATTCCCTCAAAATAGCATTCTGGTTCAGAAATTTGTGGAGATAAATGATGGCACTGGAGAAATGTCTACTGAGAGAAAACAAAATGGAAGTGACAACTTAAAATTAGGCCAAGATGCATATTTCGAGGTCATGAGCATCTTGTCTATCACACTTGATAAACTTGTCCAAAAATTTCCTTTAAATCTATACAATTTGGAATCAACAATGGTTGATTCTTCTCAACTGGTAAGATTTCTGGAGATGACCATCTTGACTAACTTAGTTGAGTTGGCAAGGGAAATAGGAAGAACTTCTGCAGACATGCATCCAGTTCCATTTTTGGGGCCATTCCTCAGATCATCTCTTCTTCACAGATTTGAAGATCCTTCCACTCTCAAGGCCCTTCGTTCGATTCTTCTTTCACTGCCTGAGGGAAATCTTGCCTTTGGTGATGCTTTTGAATATTTGGTAGCACATTCTCAATTTGTTCCTGCTATTTTATGGAGTGAGGCAGGTTCTGATCGGGCATCTGTTTTATCTCACTCTGGAATGCTGTTCCGGCCTTTCTCCAGTATTCTCCATTTACTGTCATACCCAAATTCTGTTCAAAGTGTTTCAGAGATGAAAAGTAACCTAAAGACATCATCAGGAAAGAGAGAAATATCTTTTCTTTCATACCAGAGAAAGTTGGAGTTGGTTAAATTGCTAAGGGTTCTGTACCATCTTAAGGTTCGACAGGGACAAATTAATACCACAGAAAACTCTAGCACAAATGCCAAAGAATTGTTATCTTTGCTTTTGGCGGGGTATGGTGCAACTTTAAGTGTAATTGATGTGGAGATGTTGTCTCTCATGCATGAGATTGAGTCCCTTGAATTAACATGCCATGGATGCTTGTCAGAGATGGATTATCTCTGGGGAACTTCTGCTTTGACAATAAGAAGAGAGCGGGCTCTTGAAGGATCTTTGGCATCAACTATTACTGACGATTGTGAAACAGCTGAAGAGAAACGTAAAAGAGAGTTTAGGGAGAACCTTCCAGTCGATTCCAGAGTTTGTGCATGGACAGTGCTGCATTTTTCCTATGATAGGGAGATTTGGACTCAATCTGAACCCTTGGAGAAGCTTAAGGAGGATAATCTCATGGATTTGCCTATTGTATGCTTTGCTAATAAAACCTCCTAGTTCTTGGATAAATATTTTCTAGAAATCCTCTTTAAATACTAATATAGTTTCCATGCTATAAATAGTATATTTCTAGATTCTCTTTGCATTCCTTTGAAACGCCTTTGCTGTACATGCAAGTGTATTTATGTTTGCTATTATGGTGGACTGGCAGGTAATACCATCAAGACACGGGGAAATGGTTGCACAATACGATCCTGCTTTTGTATTGCGTTTTGCTATTCATAGTCTCTCTATGGGATTCATTGAACCGATGGAATTTTCAGGATTGGGCCTTCTTGCCGTTGCCTTTATAAGTATGTCCTCCTCCGATGAAGGCATACGAAAGCTGGCTTATGATGCCCTTGGCAGGTTTAAAACTGCTCTGGAAGTAAGTACTTTCGTGCTTTTGCTCCAAAGTGCTTGTAGATGATCAACATGAATTTTGAGGTGCCCATATTTATCAAAGTTACATATTATTTTGCAAGCTGATTTCCAGATTTTGAACCTTCTGTTGTGCCACTTCATATACATGGTTCTGTAAGATGTCTTGCTGTCTTTCCTAGTATTTTCATTGGGAAGCATAAAAGATTTGTCCTAACTTCCTATAGAGTTTTAGATGCAAAATGAAAATGTGAAATTCTTGTCTTGATTGTGATCTAAGCTTTTGAGAGATCTATTATTTGTAAATATTGCTATTCAAGGCTCATACACTTATAGTTGGTTTAGTTTATGGAGAAGCATGAGTTTTCTTTGTAGCTTGCAGACTTTCATGTGGTGTGAGAGTTGTCTATGACTTTGGAGCATATTTGTTGGGATTGGGATGGGACCGGAATTAGGATTGGTAGTGGGGATCCTTGTTTTAAAAAGCGGACAGCCTGGTGTTTGGACGGCCGCCTAGGCAGTCCAGAAGGCTTGGGTGCATCACCCAAGCCTAGGCGGCCAAACTAGGCAGATATCCCTAGGCCCCCGGGAACCCTCCTAGGCGCCTGCCTGAACCTGCCTAGGCGCCCGCCAGAGCGGCCGCCCAGGGCTTGCGCCCCGCCCAGGGGCGGAAATGCGGCTCCTTGCAGGTATTTTTGGGTTATTTTTTTAATATTAAAGGGAAAAATTGTGGGTTTTAGGTTCATTTGAAACCTAAAATCCATTAGAGGCTAGTTTAGAGAGAGAGAACCCCCAAAACAAATTTTTTTTCTTTTGGGCCGCCTAGATTTGCCTGGACCCCCCCCCCCCCCCCCCGACCGCCTAGGTGCTGCTTAGCACTTTTTGAAACACTGGTGGGGATTGTGAAAGGCTAGAAGGTCCCCATAGTTAGAAGCCTCGTCGTACAATGTGCATGTTTGAGATCGAGATCCTTAAGCATTAGGGATCGAGATCGTTAAACATTAGGGATCAAGATCCCAATCTTTTGGGGAACTCAATTCTAACTTTTTGGGATTTGAATCTTGATCCCAGCATTTTGGAGATATTGATCCCAACTTCATAGATGTATACAATGATTTAAAAAGTGGACTGCAACCGCCTAGGCAATTCAGAAGTTTTGAGCGTATCGCCCATGCTTAGGCAGCCAAATTAGGAGGATATCCCTAGGCCCCAGCCTAAGCACCCAGGAACCCGCCTAAGCGGCCGCCTGAACCCGCCTAGGCGGCCGCTCAGGGGCGGAAATGACCCTCGTTGATTTTTGGTCATTTTTTTAATGTTAAAGGGGCAAATTTGTGGGTTTTAAGTTCATTTGAAACCTAAAACCCATTGGAGCCTATTGTAGAGAGAGTAAAACCCTAAAAACTAGTTTTTGGTGATTTCTATAGGATCGAAGGGTTTCTCAAAGTTACGAGAAATTGATCTAAGCATCCCCAAGTGATATTAGATATAGTTTTTGGTGTTTTATAAATCTATTAGAGATTTTTTTAGAAGATTTTGGGTTCTTAGAAACATCTTAGAGGTGGAAGTTTGGAAATTGATCAATCAAAGTTAGTAATTTTTTTTGATATGGACTTATGGTTATGGAGTATGGAGGAGTGTGTGCTATGTGGAATTGTATACTATACATATGATGTGTGCTAAATCCCTGATACTTTTTCTTTTTTTGAGAATGTTAACAGTAAATATTATAATAATAAAAGTTTTACAAAAGTAAGGATCGTGGTAACCCACATAGCGGGTCTCTCAACCAAAAATTGGTCACTAGGGAATGACCTGTTCTAGAAGACTAGCTCTAACATCACTAGTGAGGCAAAAGATATGGGGCTTATATAATTTGCCCGTTACAAGATAGAAGACTACAATCTAGGAGGAGGAGGCCTCCCCGTCGTGCTAATGATATAGAACTCCTTGTTGTGCGCATCTAGACGTGTGTAGAAAGCTGATTCCTAGCGGGTTCCTTGGCGAGACGATCTGCGAAGTTGTTGGACGTCCTCCAAATATGCGTCCATGAGACGTTTATACCCCTACAAGTATGCTCAATTTCATAAAAAATGTGTGCTAGGTACCAAGGAGGGGCCTTTCTAGCAGCCTAGGATATAACTTTTTTGGCATCGCCCTCTATGTGCAGCCGTGGGCCCCAGGAAGGATTAAATTTGTTGGTTCCTATCAATAGGGCTGTGGCCTCTGCGAACTGTGAGTCTTTGTGACCAAGGTGTTCTGAGAAGGATGAGATGAATTTACCTTTATGGTCATGGAAGACTCCTTTCGTGTTTGCTAGGCTTGGATTTCCCAAGGAGCATCCATCAAAATTGAACTTAATATCACCCACCCAGTTGCGATGAAAACTAACCGCCGAAATCCCAGTGAACAGATTGTGGTTGGAAGCCCAAAAGATTACCATCGAAGTAACCTTGTGGAACAAAGCTGGGAGTTCGCTTTTGATACCACGGAAAATTATCGATTTTCTTTCTAGCCAGATGGTTCACAACGTTGCAACGAAAGAGGCTTTCTAGGGTCCTGCCGACTTCGGCCAGTTCGATTCGAAGGAGCAGGAAAGTTAGGGTCGGAATTGAAGGGGGGGTAACCCAAGACATTCCAAAAAGTTGGATAAACGTTGAAGGGCAATCTGACAGTGAATGAACAAGTGGGGGTTTGTTTCTTCTCGCATAGGCACATGAAGCACCTATTAGGAGTTTGGAGACCTCTTCTCTGGAGTATGGCTATAGTGGGTGTGCGTTCGGAACACGTGATCTAGTTAAAGGCTTGCACTTTTGGAGGGGCTATGGATGACCAAACTTTGGAGAGCACCGGGTTCGGGGTTTAGTGGGAAAGAAGGGTGCAGCAGTTTCTTGTAGAAGGAGGCCACCGTGAAGGAACTGGTTGGTGAGGGAGTCCAGACCAAGGTGTCTGACCTTGAGAATGCGAGTAAGGTGGAGTGGAGGGAATCCGAGAGGGACATAAACTCCAAGGTTTCTTCTTCTGTGAGTGGTCTCCTAAAGGATGGGTTCGAAACTCTGCGATTGCTTGAAGGTACTATTTCTTCCGAGACTAGAGAGGCTTTGTTAACTGCCACAACGAATAGGGATGGCGAGTTTTCTCTTAGCAGGGTGTGGCCTAAACAGAGGTCTGACCGAAATCGCACGCTATCCCCGCCTCTAGCATGGAACCGAATGAGTTGTTTAAATGGTCCAAGGGAGGAGAGTAATGATTTTCATATGTTCAAGCCCCAAGTCGTTGGATAACCTTCATGCAACCAAAGGTCCGGTGGGATACTACACTTGCTTCGGATGACCTGGGCCCACATATGGCAGTTCTGAGTAGCCAATCTTCACCACCATTTACTTAAGAGCGTCAGGTTGTGTGTCCTAAGCACTTTGATCCTTAGACCGTCCTGATGTTTTGGGAGATAGATTTTATCCCACGCAATCAGGTGGATCTTATTTGACGGCGCTTCACCTGACCAGAGAAAGTTTCTTGTCAGTTGGTCTAAGAGTTTAGAAACCGAGGCTGGTATATGGAATAATGACATGAGGTATACGGGGGAGTTGGTTATGGTTGCTTTGATAAGTGTTGTTCTCCTTGCAAAGGATAAGTATCTGCCTTTCCATCCTGCCAATCTTCGGTCTACTTTGTCAATTACATGAGACCATTGCGCTTTCTTTGCCTTTCCCAGTCCCAATGGCATGCCCAGATACGATGTGGGTAGGTCCTCCACTGTACATTCCCAAGAAGGAACGAGGTTTCTGGTTTGGGTGTTGGATAGGCTTACTCTTATCATTTTGGACTTGGCCATGTTAACTTTGAACCCCTTTGCATACTCGAAGCAGATCAGAAACAATCTGAGGTTTTCGATTTTCTCGAGGGTTGCGTCCAGGAAGACAAACGTATTGTCTACATACTGCAGATGAGATACACTCGGGCCATTCCTACTGCTCTTGAAGCCAGAGAGGAGTCTCTCTTGGTACATGCGAAATATAGATTGGCGAAATACTTCTGCCACTAAAATCCCTAATACTTGTGTTATATAGTTAAATTTATATTGTTAGACTATGCAAACATTTTTCTTTTTACTGGGCCACCAAGGTTCTGGGCGCTCGCCTAGGCGCTGGGCGGCTTGGAGCCTCCCCGTCGCCTAGGCGCTGGCTAACTCTTTTTGAAACACCGAGTGTATATATAACCTTGGACGATACGTCTACTATTTAAAGGAGGAATTAATTAATTTATAGACAACTAGCAATGTAACTGTATGAAAAGTATAGTTGTATTACTAGCCATCTATAAATAAAGAAAATCATCAGTTTGGTCGTTATCTTGGTCTTTATGGTGGGGGTCGAGATCCTTAACAGTAGGGATCGAGGTCCCAAAGTTTGACAATTGAGATCCGTTTAACATTCCTTTCTCAGAGCGCTAGAGTGAGATTTCAGAGTGGAATCGCCTCCTAGGTTGGGAGCTCTATAGCTATGCTTTCGAGGTCTAAGATGGCCGGAACTGAATATGTAGAAGAAAGATGATAAGTGAATGCTTCCAAGCATCAAACCTGGAACACTTCGACATGTATGCTAGGGAATTCTATTTGAATTTAAAAATGTCTTTTTAGAATTAAAGGTTTGCTCATTCGCTTCGTATTTGATGTGATTGTTTCATGTAGCCAGATTACTCATCCCGATGGTTGGGTTCCTGCATGAAATTTTCTCTTTGGTGACTGATAACAATTCTTTATTGGTTTTTTTGCTTTTTCAGTCCTTAAATGAAGAGTTCTGCCTCATCTAAACTTCAAAGTAAAATTGGGTGTTCTTTTGTTTTTGCTCCTCGCTTTTCTTAAGTTATATGCAGCCAGTGGACAAGTCAGTTAATGGGTTGCCTGTAAAGTTATGTTTCCTTCCATAACTGCATTGCACTTGAAAATATTGGTGATGTCCTCCTCTGGTCCCCTGTAGTCGAACCCCATCGCCTTTGGAACTTCCTCTA